CGACGACGGAGAAGAAGAAGAAGAAGAAGAAGATGAAGTCGGGGGACGTGGAGATGGAGGAGGCGACGGAGGTGGCAGCTAGTGTAGAGAAGAGCGAGAAGAAGAAGAAGAAAAAGAAGAAGTCGAGCGAAGATGTGCAATAGAGGTGGCGTAGGGACGGTGGTTAAATTAATTTTTTTTTCGTTTTTTTTAAAATTATTTTGCCCCTTCTTTTTGTTAAATTTTCTTATTTCCCCTTGAGTAGTGATAGCTTTCGGTACAGGGACAAGCTGGCGTATGAATTTTGGTTCTAAGAACGACGAGGCAGTTTTCAGATAGTGCCATGGGAATGAAAGGAGAGGCATCACAAGAGATGATGTCGGAAAGGTTTTCAACGTCTGCGTGGGATGTATGATGTGCGGTGGATGGGAATGGGGGTGGGGATGGGCGTGGGCAGACAGTGGATTGTTGTGGATGCGGAGGTGATTGTGGTGCATGCAGCAGCTGTGTGGCGGCGCGGTTGAGCTGGTTGTGAGTTGTGGAGTCGGGTTGGGATGTGTTGTGCTGGGTGTGGGCGGGCAGCAGGGTAGTGGAGTGGTGTGGCAGGGTGTTGAATTTGAGGAGGGGATGCGTGGTGGGGTTGAGTGGGGGTGCCGCGTCACAGTGCAGGGTTGTAGCGCGATGGTCGGTCCCCGGGCAGTTGGAAGTGTCCGTGATCTTGGGGCGGAATGTGGTTGGGATGTGGGGTTGGGCGGTGTTCGCAGTGGAAGGGTGCATGCTGTTTGTGTGATATCCGATGCGAGTTGTGAATGAAAGTTGGAGTTGGAGCGCCCCATGCATTGTTGTTGGTGCATGTTAAAAATGCGCAGGCTTTTCGATTCCACGTGCGTGGGGCAAACCACAAAGCAGTGGGCCGGACGTGGTTGCGATCCCGCCGCGTGCAGTCGAAGCCGTAATGGTTGGGATGTACAGTTGGGCGTCGTCATCTCGGATTGAGCTTGGCACTCGTTGTGATGGAGGCATTCGCGCGAAGGGGTGTCGGTATTGGTTGTAGTTTATTCGGTGACACTTGGGCCGATGAAGGGGTGTTTGTTCAGTATGCTTGTACTCCTAGCATAACCTACGGTGTCTGTTCATTATGCGCATAGTCTCAGCGTTATCTGTGGTATGTTAACAGCATGCACATGGTCTTAGCATTGTGTGTAGTGTCCGAAACTGTATCCCGATGCATGGTATGAGTGTACTCTTTTGTTCTCACATGCAACGATACGATAGTGCAACTCTGGCTTACCAACACTGTAATCGTCATGGCTCGCTGGGCTCGTAGCTGTTTGGGCCGCAAGATAGGCGGCACCTTAGATGGTATGATGTGATACAAGAGTCAAGTTAAATTGGCTTGATGAGTCGGCGCTGAGGATTAGGGTTGACCTATGACGCTGGGGCCATTCGTGGGCCCGCAGCTACCAAAACAATTTGTACATGACGGCGACGGAGAGAGCTACTGCATGTGATCAGGGAACGGTGAACCTGAGCGAGCAGGGTATGTTTCAGTGGGGAGGTTCGGGGATCTGAGGTGTCAGTCTGAAGGCGAAAAAGTAGTACAGGTCGTTTTGTGACACCGATGACATTGTTTTGTCTTCCTGGTTGTTCTCCTGGGAAGAAAAGAAACACTGTTGGATTGTGTGATACCGGTTGGATTGTCGAGTGTGAGTAGTCGTGTGTAGAGGACAGTGTGGTACAGAAGTTCGTGAAAGCAAAGGCGATGTCGGGGTCCGGCATTGGTATGCGAATGAAGTAGGGAGTGGATGTAGGTGGAGGTAGCTTACGACGACCCAGGAGGACAGCAATTGTTGGTATTCATTTCGATGTCGAATTCCACGAGTCGGTTTATGTCTCGTTGAGAATGAAGATTAGGTAGAGCAACTTCAGCAAGGGTGCGAATGCGACAGACGGCAGAATCACTTCCTTGAGGGCAGGTGGGAATTGCGGTGAAAGCTTTTGCAAGAGTACACTATTGTAATCCTTGCCGAGCAGGGATCAGAAGCTCATGGTACGGTTCATCACAGAAGGGTGCTTCCAATCACAAGTCACAAAAGGAGAAATGGCAACCTTCGTGGAGGTGTGCTGATAGTAATGTTGCTCGGTGAAGGAGTAGAGTAGAGCTGCTGTATGTTGGAGGTGAGTGCGATCAGGACTATGTCTGAAGAACATTTGTTCGTGTTAAGGGGACCAATCGGGAAGTTGGAAAATGAGATGTGTGTGGTTGAAACAATCTCACCGTACAGGGATACAACGTGCAGCAACCTAAGATACAAGGCAATGCAAATAACTCGTGACATTTAATGACGCAGTCGTTCTCAGGGAGCGCGAACCGGAGCAGTGATTTGAGCAGGGAAATGCGGAGAACAGGAAAGTCGGGAGGACGGGAGGAGTGCCAGGATTGCGAGCGCATTCCGGGCATATATATATATATATATATCCACACACTTGGGCCTCTTGGTCATGGTTGCAGTGGATATGGGGTGGAGCTTCGGAAGTGAGGAGTTCCAGTGAATTGCAGAATGTTGGAGTGCGAGCAGGCGCTGTGAGGTCTTGGTTGGAGACATGGGTTTGGGGAGGGAGACATTGCACACTTGTATTAGGGGCTGCAGCTTCGCATACTAGTTTTAGGGGATGCGGCTTTGCACACTCTTCGTGACGAGCATGAACGTTCCGACGCTGTGAGGAGAGAGGGAAGGACGCGAGTTGGGGAGCAAGTGGGAGGGGGAACTGACAAAAGTGACCACGAGGGGATTCGAACCCCCGACCTTCAGATCCGAAGTCTGACGCGCTAATCCACTGCGCTACGCGGCCGGGCGAGTGAAACGATAGAAGCGATCAATCGAGGATCGTTTGTATACTAAGAATTTCGATGTATGATTGGAGAGCAGGTTTTGCACTGGTAGACTGTTCTTCTATGTCGCAATGCTCTACTAGTGCATGTGAAATGGCAAGCATTATGACATGCTACTGCCAAGGCTAAGGATGCAAGGTTATGAGAACTAATGATTATCCCGATTGATATTGAACTTGGGATGCTTCATGCTTATGTACATTCGTGCACTTTTAGATTTGAAGACTGAGAGGGAATTTATTTGCTGAACATGATGTGTAGTTTAACCTTGTGACATATTATATGTTTTTTCATGTATAATCGGGTTGATCCATGTATGCAGCAAATACGAGGAGGCGTGAGAATTTGGATAGAAAAGTTGGTTTACTTGTGATTTGAAGGAAGGAATGAGGTAAAAAGGTTCTGAAGCTCTCTCAAGTGGAAATGTTGGTTATCACAAGTTGCACAATTGAAATCACACAATTGAAGAGCATGATGAATGACACCTTAGCAGAACAAGTATTGCCCTTTCCTACTACTTCTCTCTTAGTAAAGCTATCAAAGCCAGTTTGTAGTAAGTTTGTGATCATGATAAGGTGCAAGTCATCAAAGTATATACCGCTTCTTCTTCTTCCTCTTTTTTTATCCCAAACTTGAGACAACAAAAAATTGCCAAAAAACAAAAAACGAAAAAAGAAAAAGATAGTTAGTGCCATTCGGAAGAACGTGTGTTCCAAGAAGGTACAATTGGTTCTTGTGGTCTTTTTGTGCTACGTGGGTCGAAATATATCTTTATTTTCGAAATCTCATTGTGTTTGTGATTTAGGCACTGTTATATATATTTTGTTTGATATATTTGTTAAGTTATATACACATGGTTCTTCAATTTATGAATTGTGAGGGTACGGATTTGATTGTAGTTGTAATGCCTTCTTTTGACTGCGTAATTTGTTTTTAATCCAGATGGTCCATGAATTATAAATTGATATGCTTTTTTGATTATTATTATAATATATGATTGTATGTCTATGTGCTATGTAGATGTATATTGCGACTGTTTGCACATTTATTTTTAATGCTTTTAAGATATATTATTTCTATGTAAACATATATTGTAGTGTTTAGTATGTGTTTGTAAGAATTTTCTAATTAGTGTTTTTTTGCTTTGTCGACAGTGTGGTTGCATTTCAAAGTTGTGGGTTCTCGGAGTTTTAGTTAGTTTTCTTCTGTTACTATATCTTTCTGGATTTGCATTTATCGCTATTACGAAAGATGGGGCATAGGATATGTCCTTTTTTTTGTTTTGTTGAAGCAGTTGTAATTGATATTTTCTTGAAATTAGTCGAAAGCATTGTAGATTGACAGTGATGTCATTAACATGTGCAGAATGTAACGTATTGTCATTTTACATTTTAGGTTATTTAGCAGAGAATAGATGTTTAAATTTTTTTGAGTCGTATATTTTTCACGGCCCCTGCTTTGGAAGTATTTATTGGTCTGATATATTCAAATGTCATTGTTTGCAATATTGTTTAGAGAACGATGTTTACGAAGTTCTCAGATCCATTCACCATTAAAAGTCTTCATTGCGTGTTTTCTTCCAAAACATGGAAATGATGTCCTGAGATTATTGACGTAAATAGTTAGCGAATAGCAAGATATCTTAAATGTTACAGCATTGGAAATATTTGATTAGGCTTTTGTCAAGAATTCCACCACCTACATCCGAATGTGTGATTGTTGAAGACATTTGCAATTCTACGCATTAACCGTTTTAGCTCATTTTCTTGGCCACAAGCATTTTTAAAAATACAAGCATTTATAACCACATGCCGCTGAATTTGAGACAAGTTATCCTGAACTACTCAGGAGGGGTTCAAGATTGGTGGGAGGCTGCCAACGTGAGTATGGACTGTACTAGTTTAGTGTGAAGGGTGGCCAATAGGAAAGGCAAGCTACGGAATGGAGGAATTGGAAATGCGAGTAGGAAGAGCTTCAAAAGGGCAAGCATCACTGGGCATTTGTGAGGACGATGAAGAAATATATACCAAGAGCAACAGAACAGGGGGCTTGTAAGTCAAAACCTGAACCGGCGAAAACAGATGAATAGACGTAGTAGGTTGTACGCAAGGAAAATGGAGACAGTGGATGAGAATATATACGAAATCAGAGAGAAGTTGCCCGTGGAAATCAATTCGCTCAAGGTTCTAAATTGATCACAAATGGATGAGAATTGCATATGGATCTACTTCTGCAAATTGTCCAATAATTGCCGATACCTGGGAGTCTCTTCGTCAAAAATATACGTCAATGGTGACACCAACACACCACTACCTCCAGCCTGAAACCCAGGTCAAACGTAGAAAAGTTCAGCGTTCCTTTGTTTTAATTTTCAGTGAAGTTGCTGTATGCCTTTTGGCGACGTATAGTAGACTGGAAGTACTGAACATTGACCTGAGGAATTTAATAATCAACTTGTTTCTAACTAAAAGAGGTAAGGACAAAATGACGAAAAGCTAGTGCACGAGAGAAGGTACCTTTCTTAGTTCCCGGACAGCTTGGTATAGTTGAAACTTTGGAACACATATGATAATAGCGTAGTAGTCCACCGCAGTTTTACCACCTTTGTTAGTGTAAACAGGACTGACCGTAGGGCCCTGCAGGTTATCACGGAACATTCAGACACGAGAAGCACATCCTTCATTGGAGTTGCAATGTAAACAACTGCAACAAATGTACGACGACCAAATGTCAAAGATAGTCAATGACCTGCAAGCCTGGATAACTGGTGGCGTTGAGAATCCTATCCGCAACCTCGTCTGCAGAATCGCCTCTCATGTTGGCAACCACCTGTTACAAAGGGAAGTGAAAAGACGTGTAAGTCTGGTATATGGTAAGACACGGTTAAGGAACAATAATAAGATACAAAATACCCACTTTAACAGTCACTCCAGTGCGGTTTTGCAGCATTGACCCCTTGAAACCCATGTCCGGTGACTCAGAAGCTAGAGTGTTACAATTCCTACCGTGAATTGACCTTGGGCAGTTAGATGTGCTTCAAACCGCTCCAACATTTCATGAGCTACATCGAGCACCTCCTTCCGCTCCAGCAGTACTTTTTTGTTGGCGACGAACACACCCTTTGATTAATAACGCAGAACAATTTGTTAATACCTAGATGCCTGAAGTTAGAGGCCAATACTGTTGCCATGTGGCACGAAGAGCAAGACGGTTACATCAAGAACACGCAGTAACAGAAAATTCTGATCGTCAGTCTTTCGAAACAACAATATGAATACAACACTAGTAGAAAGATAAGAGACCTGACTACTGAGAACAGCTCCACCGCTAATCTCCTTCAGATTGTTCTCACGTAGAGTAGTTCCGCTGCTCACCAAATCCAAGATGGCATCAGCAGTTCCCATCTGCGCAGATTCCAAGTCAATACATATAGAAATTTACATACAGCAATGCCTTTGTATATAAAAGTTGACAAACACTGCATGAAGCTTTGATACTGGCTCACATCATTAAAAACTAGATCACAAGGGTATAGTTCTTGCAAAGTTACTCACAGCTGGTGCGGCTTCCAAAGCACCGTCAGCAGTTGAGAGCTCCACATGCTTAAAGCCGTGTTCTTCCAAGAACTTCTTTCCAAGCTGCATTACAGAAAGATAAAACTCAGAACGAGTACCGCGACAAGACGAATAACCTATACATTGCTACATAAGATATACAACAAGACGAGTTGGAAAGAATCATTACTTACATACGTATAGCCAGTGACAACACGCAATGGCCTATCTTCAGTCCATAATGGCATGGCAGCCAGCTCACTTAAAGAGTTTATATTCTCAAATATGCCATAAGTTGGAATCTGCAAGAGGAGTCAAATCCCTTAAAGAGGAGTTAAACCTGGAACTTGAAGACATCCAATGTACATGTACAAGTAGAACCTGACAGAGGGATTTCGCATACACAGCTAGCTCATATCCCGTGATGTCGTCGACGTTGTGAAAACTCTGCAAACTTGGAACGGACGAAAGAACAACAAATCCAGAATCTACAAAACTCTATGAATTTATAAAAGATTATAGAACGGCCGTCCATGAAGGAGCACACACCCCGATTGCAAGGTGGCATTGTCCGAATCCCAAAGCATCGTGAACTACTATAAGGTCCTCGTCATCCTGGACACAAATGCAAATAAGTAGGATTTATTACTGATAACTTCCGATACGCGCGTAAACATACTCACGAAAAGGATGAAAAAACACCTCCACCCCCCCTAAAAAAAAGGAGAAATAAATAATTTATCAAAAATGTATTCTCTTGAATGTATACGATAGACATATGAGAAGGCAACTTCAATTATAGACTGTATGCGGGATAGTGAAAGTGACCAGAAGAACGAAGAATTAATAGATTTCTAGACAGTCCAAAATGATTTCAACTTATGATAATCTTAGCATAGATCGAACCAGATGCAATCTTCGTATGGTGGTTGTTGCGCAAGGACGACTACAACCAGTATATACACATAGAATATGCAAGGAACAAGTGCTTACCTCCCCATATTCCCGAAGCATATCGTAGCCAACAATGCCCATGTCCACATCCCCAGTTTTCAGCTTCCTCACGACGTCGGATGCCCGTTGAAACCACACCTCAACGTTCTTGAGCTATTAAAACCAACGGGACACGCAAAATCGGCATATAGCATAATTCTCAGAAACTAACCATGACAACCAACACCTCTGAAACAAAACATGATTTAATGCAGAAGGATTTTGCGATTGATCGTTAAGGGGAACTTACTTCAGAAATATCTGCGATGTATTGGCGAGGGTTCAGTTTTCGCACTGAAAGTTGGCAATCCTGCACATGTGCGACCCATTTGATTATTCATCGAATGTTAAATATCCTAAGACGCTCAAATTAAAAAATTGAAGAAATTATGACACCTTATAATTAAGTTCCATAACAACCAAGTATACCCAATTTGGCATGACTTAAACTACAAAATTAACGTGGCATGAGAGCATTAGCAGGCATTCAACCTTCATTAGACCGAGTGTGTCTTCCGCCATACGTCCTTTACTGGGAGAGCCAGACGAATAGTGTCCTCTCCTCGGCCGAATTGCTTGCCAGTCCTGCAACAAAGCGTATCATTCAGATCGTTATACAT